GCACATCGGAACAAATTATAAAGAATAAAAAACTTTTTGCAATGCAATCGAGTTTTTTTTCATCTTTGTTTTGTATGCAACTTATCAATTATTCACCATATTTCCACTTATTGCATTCGCTGCATATCTTAGAAGAAAATAATTTGTTCCGCTGGTAAGTTAATAGCAATCCGTTTCTAGAGTAAATAATTTGCGATGTAGTTTTGAGAGAAAAATCTTTTCTTTTTTTTTTTGACGTAGATTTCTGCAGAAAAGGATTTGCGATTTTGATGCAAAATTATTGAAAATGCATTTCTCTTGTACATTGCTTTTGAATCGTTTCTACTTGAAATCAATTTGCCCTTTTATTCCAAGAGTAAATAGTCCTTTTTAACAGCATTTCTCTGGTTAAAAGAGGAACGAAAAAAAGACTAATAAAAATTCAAGAGGTTCTAATATTGGCATTACGCGCATATCATAGAATTTGATTTGAAAGGTAAATCTGTAGAATAAGTAGCAATTTTCAGTGTCACAAATGCTTTTAGAACTTACTCGATAAGCAAAGAAATTAGTACATGTCAATCTCTTATAGAATGGAAAATGAAATACCGATGTCTTTACAGGAAAATCGCAAAAACTATTTGGTTAGAGACAAGTCTGTATAAAAAAAAAATCAACAATAATCCCCAGTCTTCCATCTCCTATGTGCTCACAACCTGTGTGATCATGGTTCTCCACAACCTCCTATGCTTCATAGCTCTTACTACATGGCTTACAGACATATCAAAACTGTTTTCTGTACAATTACTGAAGTTAAGCCACATTGAGATTGGTCAGTATCTAGATGGGTGACCACTTGAGAATACTAAAATTTTACAAATATTCTAAAATAATTCTAAAAATTTTTTAAAAACTCTAAAGAAAATGTAAAAAATCTAAAATAGTTCCAAAAAATTCTAAAAAACATTCTAAAAAACATTCTAAAAATATCTAAAAAACATTCTAAAATATTTTTAAAATGCCTAGCACCTTTGTTTATGTGTATAGGGATTCGTACGAACATAACAAATCTGATGCAGTCCTTAAGGATGAAACGTGTCACAAGTAAACATTTTCATACATTGTCATACATATATATATATATATGTATATATATATATATATGATATAACAATAAATATTTTTTTATAATATTTAGAAAAATATGTAAACTGGAAAGGTTTTCTTGTGACGTGTTTCATCTGTTAGGATTTCATCAGACTGGGTTTGACAACATTTCCATGTCTGCATATGTGCATGAAATGAAAGATGCAGGAAGTTTCAAAATTTTTGAAAGAATATATTTTGAAAAAATATATTCAACATGTTCCTGCTAGACTTGAAATTTTGTTGAGTTTTGGTTGGTTTATTTTGATATAGAGGTTCTTGAGTATTTGAAATTTCTGTTTAGTGTTCATGGTGTAGTATATTGGTGTTGTCAACAAGTATTTTCCCATATTGTGAAGGTGGACAAGAATGTGTTTTTAGTGGTTGTGAAGTACATATAGCAAACATTTATTGTCATTTTGCACACAAAAAATTTAAATATATCTATTGCAAAATATCAGGTTTTTTGATAAGAATGTGTTATTAAACCAAAGATCCGAGTTAACAGTAAACTGTAAACACAGTCTAACTTTTACCATAAAATTCAGTTAGATTTTGAATTTGACAATGTTTTTTCTAAGATTTTAGTTGAACTGTGTTGCACCATATATGGTTTAACTTTCTGCCGGTATTAATTTAGATTTGTATGGATGAATTGGTATTTGGTAGGTATTTTGACATTTCACATTGATTGGTTATTGTTACTAACACCTTATATAAAGAATCTTTAGTCAACAGTTGCAGATTAATTTAACTAGTAAATCTATGGATTGAAATTATTTATTGTTTTCTTAAAGAAGCCATTTTATTAACAATAAAAATGGTTTTATGTGGGAAACTCACAAAGCATCTAACTTATCTAGCATTTTGTTAGATTGCTACTTAATTTTTCTTAGGAAATGATATCTTCTAAATGTATAACATGTATCTATCCAACTTTGGCTCCTATGTGTCGTCTGTTGCTGTCATTGATTTCAAACCTACAGGTCATGACCCATTTATGAAATATAATTTCTTAATTTTTGCCTATTTCCTTAGTTTAAATTTAACATAGGTCTTATTTGATTGGTTGATCTAAGCAAAGTCCACAAACCTTATAACCATCCCTCATCTTTTCTTTTTTTACTTTTTTCATAAAAAGAGGCTGCTTTTAAATCCTTCCCTTGCTGGTAATTTACAATCACCTGATGGGATGCCTTGTATGTGCATTGAAACACAACTGCAATTATGTAGTGATTTTGACAGGTTTTTGATGCAATATCCTAAAATGAATTATATATATATTAAGAAATGGACAAAGTCCAACAATTTATTTATTAAAGACATTTTTATGTTTAACGTTCTTTTTTTATAGAATACAAGTATGTAAGTAAATGCTCTGTTTATAATAAACAGTATTAAATAACATTTACCAGCCTGAATGTCCGAGAAATTTTCATAGAAAATATTCGTCCTTTGACAGGATTCGAACCTGCATCCTATATGGAACCGTCATTTACGCTGACGTGCCTTAACCGACTCGGCCACAAAGTTAAGTTATGAAGAACTTCGTAATCCGTATAGGTAATCCCAAGGTGGATGAAATCCTGAGAGCTGTAAATCCAGAGCTAATATTTAAAAGAAAAACAGGCCACTTTAAGGTAGCATTATAATAATTTATTTCACCAGAGCCCTTTTAAAGGACGCCGAATCATCAGATAGAACTTCCAAAAATGAAATGAAATGAAAAATGAAATTAAAATTGATGGGTAGTGTAAGTTTTTGTAATTTAACAGAGAGTGTGAAAGGGATAGTTAAAGAGACATGGTAGTGTATAGGGAGGGATTAATTTCATATCTCTCTCAAGTATACTTTATATTGGGAGAGGAGGAGTGACAAGACATGGTAGAGTATAGGGAGGGATTAATGTCATATCTCTCTCAAGTATACTTTATATTGGGGTGAGGAGGAGTGACAAGACATGGTAGAGTATAGGGAGGGATTAATTTCATATCTCTCTCAATCATACTTAGTATTGGGGGAGGAAGAGTGACCAGACCTTAACCTATTTAGATGGTTAACTTAAAAAAAAAGGAAAAAGGAAAAAGAAAGAAGAGGGAGTGGGAAGTAAAGAAATAGAGGCTGCAATTGGGTTTTAGCAATTTATGTAAAAAATATATTTTAAATGCTTGATAGTAATTTAGATGTCTAAAAAGATGGGAAGAAATTGATATGATTCTTGCTATCAATTTAAATATTTAATTTTTTTACAAATAGTTTAGGGATTTAATATAAGTTAAATACTATATTTATTAACACATTTATAGAGAACACATTAAAAAAATATTTTAAATTATAACAGTTTGTTTACCCGACCAATCGTACTTTTTTAATATTGTAAAAAATAGTTACGGTAACATCTTTATCAGTTTGAATCTAATTTATGAATTTGTAATTATTTTTATATGGGTAATCTTTCTTACTTAAAGCTTAGGTTTAAATATTTATATGTATATATAAGTTTAGGTTTAATATATATATATATATATATATATATATATATATATATATATACACACACACACACACACACACACACACATACATATAGCAGCCCTCTGTATTAAATTCAAGACATAAAAAACAACAAAAATAATAATGATGCCGATAATAAAACTGATAATATTTATTAACCAAACAGATGCAAATCATGCAGAAAAGATGTTAAAATCAGATGTTTGGGACATGACTGTGTTCTTTCTCAACAAGAAATAAATGAAGTTAGACATTTTGGGAGTTTTTTATGTCAATTTACACACACACACACACACACACACACACACACACACACACACACACATACATACATATGTATATAATAATAATGGACTCTCTCCCATCAGTTTCGACGTATGAGCATCTGACAGCTTATTGATTCAGTTATGAAATTTTCTATGATAATCTTAAGTGGCATTTAAGACCCGCTAGTGATTTACAGAGGAGGCCACATATGGAGTAAGAGGGAGGATTGTGAAATGAGATCACTGTTAGATTGGCTGACCTTTTAGATCTTGCTCTCGTTTCTTGAAAAGGATTCAGACAAGCAGATTGAAAACTGCTGAGTCCACTAAAACACGTTGATCTCCAGTCTACCCGCTCCAAGGCTAAGCGCTCAAGGGTTTTATGTGGTATATTCACTGCTGACAAGTTGCTTTTCAGCTTGTCTTTGTATTTAGCCTTGGCCATCCTACATAATATATATATATATATATATATATATATATATATATATATATATATGTATATATATATATATATATATATATATATATATATATATATACCAGGTGTAACAACAAATTTATCCAAATTGTGAAACTGCAAAATTGTCCAATTGTTAAAATAATCTCTGAAACGTTGTATCTCAGAAATGATTAAATATATCTTACTGGAATTCTCAAAGA